GTAAGCGTGATGTTTGCTTTCAAAAAGAGAAGCTGCCAGTTCATGTGTTATTTCTCACTCTTTATTTTTGTTTTAAAATAATTTCTTTTGTCTATCATTGTAGTCTGCAAACAAAGAAATATCCCCAGACTGATATACACCAGCACAGTGAATGTGGTGTTTGGAGGGAATCCTATTGAAGAAGGAGATGAAGAAACTGTGCCGTATTTTCCACTGGAAAAGGTCTGTTGTTCATGTGATGGTGTGGAGTTACTGTGCTTGAAAGGACAGACTGTGTGAGGCTGCTCTGAGGGCAGAAGCTGTTTTACTGTAGATCACATCAAATTCCATTAAATTATTTTTCATTAATGTAAGTTGACCCATGATCAATAAGAAATAATCAAATCATAATGGCTTTTGGAATTTTCCGTGGTATATATTTTCCAATATAAAATCTGGCAATACAGAATTCAACAGATAACTAGTCTTGTGTGGACAGGTAATCACCAAACCAGTATGTGCCAACTGTGTCCAGAGTCCTATTGTTTAAATATACTTGGGTGCAATTTTTAAACTTCACACTGAAAGATATTATTTGGGAGAGAATGATTTATAACTTCCCAAAAAACTTCAATAAGAAATGGAAATGTTTTTTGGAAAGTCTGAATTTATAATTTCATATTTAACTTACTGTTTTTATAAAACTTTCTTCAATTTGAAAAGGATAATTTGAAAAAATATCTGTCCCACCAGAACATTTGGCTTGGGAGTAATTTTTTCAGCACATCCAGCACAAAAAGTGAGTTAAGTAAGTGCTAGTGTACTTAAATTCACTCTGAAGCTACATTTGTGCCTCTAAAATAAAAGTCTGATACGTTTTTTGTCATAAACAAAGTATATGTTTGCTAAATCTTGTTGTTATTTCTAATCGTGTTTTGCTCAGCTGATATCCAGGAGCTGGCTAGATTGAAATGTTATCAGTCAGAAACAGTAAGTTTGCCTTTACAGATGCAATAATGTGGTTTAAATGATTGTATTCTGCCTTTCTTTGTAGCAATTTAATCATTATTCTAGAACCAAGGCAATTGCAGACCAAATGGTTCTTGCTGCTAATGGAACTTTACTCAAAGGTACGTATAAAGCATTTGTGGTTTTCCTATCATTAGTAGTGCTAATGGGTTTTGTTTACTCATTTATCAGTAGAGGATTTTAACTGAAGTGAGGATTTATTTTGTTGCAGGTATCTGGCAGGAATAGCAGCAGTTTCTTTAACAGATTGGCAATATCAGGTGACTTCCAAAGTTGCACCTGCAGGAATAGTTGTGGTTAAAAATCTAGATACATATTTTGCTATTCCTGTTGATTTCTCTTGACTGCAAAGTTGGCAGACATAAATTAGGTGGGGATTCAATTTTAGCATCCTTGATTAACTCCTGAGCAAATGCCTACCCCCTGTTACTCATGGCCAGATAAAAGGTGTCATTGTGCCTGTTCTCAGGGGTCAGAGGGGTCTGCTGAGTGATTCACAGGTCAAACTTATTCATTTTGATTTAAAATATTCAAACTCATCTGAAAGCCTCTGTTTAGGAGACCTCTTCTATTCCTCTGTGGTGCCCCTGAGCTGCAAGCAAGCCAGGTGTCTGGGTGTAGCAAATGGAATGGTCTGCTCCCAGTGTTGCATGTGTCTGCAGGGACAGACAAATATAAGTTGTAAACTTATCTCTGTAATAAACAGCAAAAGCCAAACAACCAGGAGGAAAGCTTGATTTGCCCTGTTCCTAATCAAACTCTTCTGTGGGATTTGGCTTTTCAGCTCCCAAGCTCAGGCCTTTCACAGCTACTGAATTCAATTTTATGGGGAAATGAAATCAAGTTCCCAGGAAGCCGAATCCCACAGAATGGTCAGACTGAGCCTTTATTTTGATAGTGTAAGATTCAGACAATATATGTCAGCCATGTGTTGATATCCAAGCTGTCTGAAGGTCCCCTGTTGTTCTCTCTCCCAGGAGGGGACAAGCTCCACACGTGTGTGCTTCGCCCCCCGGGCATCTACGGACCCGAAGAGCAGCGGCACCTGCCACGAGTAGCCGTATGTGTTTTGTAGTCAGCTCTGGAGGACACCACAAGTAGTTGTAAGGGCATAAAACAAGTGGAAGTACCTTGATTGCAGTTCTTAACCATTGCTCCAGGAAGGCTGTTGTGAAAGCTGGGTGACAGGGGATGTGACACAGGGTAACAAACAGCACAGACTGAGCACTGCAGACACGGCCAGGATCATGTTGCAGTGAAAATTTAAAAATGCAAGGCTGAAATGCTGTGGTAGAAGAAGTAGGTTTGCATCCCTGATCATTTAATGGAAATGTTGACTTCTAAATATGCACTTCAGTTTCTGCTAAACACTCTAATGTCACCATATTTTGCCACTGCCTATCAGTGTAACAGTGTTTGATTCATGAAACCACCAACTAGTTTTTGTTTCCTTGCGACACATTTCTTGTGCTGTAATTGTACACAAATACAGCAAACTCTGAGTATTTGGGCTGAGATAAAATGACTGTTGTACTGCATAATAAAGGAATAACATAGTTATCACATGTTTTCTGTTTCTACAGATAAACATCCAGCGGAGACTTTTTAACTTCAAGTTTGGGAATCACGAAGTTCAGATGAACTGGGTTCACATAGGAAATCTAGTACAAGCTCACTTACTGGCTGCTGAGGCTCTCACCTCTGAGAAGGGTTATGTAGCTGTAAGTAAACAATATAATAACTGTGTCCCAGTAGCTTTAGCTCTCAAATACGTTTAATTTTTGATACTTTGAGATCAAAGGGTCTCCAAAAAGTCATATGCTAAATTCTTGAAAACAGTGTGTGGCTCCAGAAACACGTGGACAATGCAAATGCAAACACATTTGGCTCATGTTTTTTTCTGGTTTGAAAATATATAATTTCCTGGTTTATCGGAGGAAACAGTATTTTTAACTACCATAATATATTCACCATTGTACATGGGGTTACCCAAAACTGTGTTTGAGAGCACAGTGAAGTGCAGTGCAGGCAGTTTGCTGAGCTGCTCTGTGTAAATTCGCTGTGTTCGTGCCGGTGTGCTACTCACAAAACCAAGACATGGGTAGGTATGAGAGAGAAAGGAATGCCATCCTATGTATAGTGTTTTTCTAACTGTTTTTCTCTGCTTCTTTAACAGAGTGGTCAGGCATATTACATCCACGATGGTGAAAATGTGATTTTCTCTGAGTGGATCGTGCCCTTGGTACGTGTTCAGCTCAGAGGCACCTCACAGGCTCTGGCCCTACTGCTGGCTAAAAATCATACAAACTAAATGAAGTGCAGGGCACATTAATTACTGAATGACCTAACATCAAACTCAGTCCTGTTCTCCCTGCATGTCCCAAAGTTCCACTGGCTTTCAGGGAAGTTTTGGCAATGCACAACTGTGGAATTTGGCCTTACTGTTTTGAGATAATTTAGCCAAGAGGTACAGAACCTGCTGCAGAGCAGCAGCATTTCTGTGGAGCAAACTCACAGTGCAGGGCAAGCTCTGCCACGGGCATCTGGCAGGTTTCTCAGAGTCATTGCTGATGTCTGTCCTGCCACCAACTGCAGCACAGAAGGGAAGCCCATTCAGAATCTTATCTTAGAAGCTAAAAAGAGGCAACATTATATTTTCATAAACACCAAGCTGGGATTTCAGGAGCATGCCAAAGTTTTAATCCTGCAATGCCAACATAGAGAATTCCTCTGGGAAAATTACTGCAGTAGAACAATGGGCCTGTATTTAACTGTAGGGAAGGATTCCAGCCTGGGTCACTTGCCCCCTGGAAAAGCCTTATTCCCCCTTTACTATCCAATTGCAGTTGAAGGGTGGGAGGTGGGCACCAAAGAATGAGCAGTGGGTTTCAATTGCATTTTTTACTACCAGTATTGATAGGAAGGCTAGCTGGAAAAAAATTTTAGATACATGTTTTATCAACATTCCTTTTTTTTCCTTCCATTTTCATGCTTCATGACACGCTCAATTTGGTACAAGCTCTCTCTTATTCTTTCCTTTTATACCCTTTCTAGTTTGAAAAATTAGGCTACAGGAAACCCTGGATACATATTCCTGTTCTCCTGGTTCATATAGCAGGTAAAAGAAATAAAATACATTCTTAATTACTGTGGGCTGTATTTTTTTTTATTATTCCTAGAAAGCTCCATAGTGGTTTTATAAAATGATAAGACTCAAACTGTAGGAATTATGTAACTTAATATTACTCCAATAAATAATAATCCCTTGTGCCATTTGGCACTAATTACTAGATAAATTTTAAAGGCTATTCATAAACCGAGTCCATCATGTACTTTATAAGTTAAACCCTGCCTTCTGCCACCCTAATTGCATCCTCTGATATCAGCAGGAATTACAGGATGTGCAATATCAGCATTGTCTCAGTTTATTGTTATCCAGCTGTCTGTCTCATTAAGTAACTTTGTGTTTCACAGCCACTGTGATGGAATATCTGCACCTGATACTAAAGCCAGTTTTTAGCTTTACACCTTTCTTGACAAGGAATGAGGTAAATATACATAAAAAGAGAGAATGTTTATATATTTCTGACCAAAACTCTTGTGAAGTCTATGATATGCCCTTTGGATGCAGACAGGATTCTCTGCAGTAGAGTTCTGTTTGCTGTTCTGTTTCCATTGTAATATCATTGTCAAAGTATTTTCATCCAAGTTCTAGAAAATCTGATATTAAAGTCACTTCCATAACTGTCCTTTTGGGTTTCAGGTATGGAATGTTACTGTAACTCACACGTTCCGAATAGACAAGGCACGAAATCAACTCGGTTACAAACCAAAGAAATTCTCATTCGCTGATTCTGTGGATCATTATCTCAAAACAAGACCTACTTGCCAAGAAGATCACACATTCCTTAAAATGGTGTTTGTTTTTGGCATTATGTTAAGTTTGATCATTCTTTCTTTCTTCTAAAATCAAGTAACTCCCCACCTGTTCCAGAAAACCTCGTTTTATTTCTGAGTATTAATGATCTGGTCACAGTACATTCCTCAGCCACTATGGATTTTGTTATTGTTATTACTATGGTGACACCTCTCTGACCTTCTTAAGAAAGAAAAAAAAAACAAACAACAAACAAAAAACAATCACAAAAGTGAAAACATGGGACACATCAGGAAATGTTCCCCAGTGTCACAAATCAAAGGCGTTCACCTTTGATTCAGGTGCAGGAATAGTGTTAATGGATCTTCATTAATTGATTGCTTCGTGCTGAGAGAGATTTTCTAAAAATGATAACTCAGGAGGGTGAGAAGCTGGAAGAAGAGGAACCATTGTAGGACTGCAGTGCTGCCACAAGTCCAGCAGCTCCAGTGAAGAAAAGAGTGACTAAACAACTCCTCTGATGAAGCTGCTGCTACAGCTACTGTCTGTAAGTCTGAGGAATTATGGAGACCTGGGAAATAGGACAAAAATATGGAAAGTAAATATTTGTAAAAAAACAGGTGGTGAGAGGACTGAAAATCATATTTATATAAAAATAATTTTATTGTTCAAAAGCTTTGTAAAAATGTAATAAATAATATTATGTGTGTTTGTAAATCAAATAATGTACATTCAAAGCAATAATAAATAATAACTGAACCAAATACTGGTTTTAAAGAGCTTCTGGGAAGGGGGAGGAAGGATACTTAAGATCTTGGAGTTCAGCAAGGTGTTCCTGCTGGAGTCATGTTATCTGCAACCCTGTACCAGCGCTGGGACATGCTGTGCCTTCAGGGAATTGCCATTTGGGGGTGAGCAGGCAAACCAAGCACCAAGACATGAGGGAGAATCCAACTTCTCTCTTTTCCCCCTTCTTAAGACTTATATTTGTTGCTTATTGGCTGGATTGTACTGCCTGAGCTACATGTGCTGGCTCTTATTTTACTCCTACTCTAACAAAACTGCAATGTGTCTTTAAATGATTAAAATTTAATATGAATGTTCAGACACAGCACAGCTGTAACAGAAGAGGTAAACGTGTTCGAAGCTTTACTTTTGCCTGGAATGGGTAACTCTCAAATTCTGCAGCTCCTGACCCATTTCCCGTCCTCCCAGGCTCGAATGACCACAGGGACCCACTGCCAGCTCAGGCGGTCAGGGCCCTTAGTCAGTGCCTATTTGTTTATGATTATACCCTCCTCCTTGGGAATTCCTGCTGTTTCAAAGGTGTCTTTGATGGTCTGCACCTCTCTGAGCCATGTCCTGCCACCAACTGTCCAACCGCTAAGTAGGAGGTGCTCTTTTTTTTTCCTCAACAACCCGTTCAACAGGTGTCTCAGTGTGGACGGAGGCGTCACTGCCAACAGGATGCGAGTGAAGACACTCGGAGGTAAGAGCCACCCCAGGGTGCTGCGGGATGAGCACAATCCCAGGGGTGCCGTGGGATGAGCAGAATCTCAGGGAGGTTGTGCGATCCCAAAGATGCTGCCCAGGTGAGCGGGGCCCAGGGGTGCGGTGGGACCCCAGGGGGCCTTTGGGAGCGCGGGGTGCGGTTGCATCCCAGAGGTGCTGCGGGATGAGAGAGACCCTGAGGAGGCCGGAGGCGGTCGGGCCGTGGGTCGGGCCCCCTCCCCGGGGGTCGCTCCGGGCGGTGCGTGGGGCCGGTAGGGGTGGTCCCGGGCCGGACACCAGCCGGGAGCGGCGGGGGTTTCCCCGGCACCGGTGAGGGCTCCCCCGGCACCGCTGAGGGCTCCTGGGGCGGCAACGGCCCCAACGGCCCCGGCCCGAGGCCGCGCTGAGGGCGCGGGGCCGCCGACCCTCGGAGCACCAGTGCCGGCGCTGCGGCCCCGGGCCATTCGCAAGTGAGATGCAGAGAGTCCCGGCGGGGCCCGGGTGGCTTTGAATGTTTAATCGCGGCCAGGGCAGGGATGTGGGTGACGGGGGGAGTCGGCAGCCACAGCCTCTGAAATGCCCCGACTGGCAGTGATGAACCCATAGATGGGCAAGAACCTCCATGCTCGGGAAATAAGTGATTCGCTGTTACTTTTTCTTAGTGCACTCATTGACTCTTCTTTTAGAGCAGCTATTTTATTCAAGTTCCCCTCAAAAGTGAGGGATTTGATAGCCTTGTACTCTGATACACCTTCTAAAATTATAAAGTAAGGATCAGGCATTCCTCTTCTCTCCTGAAACACTCATCTCTCTCAACTCCATCGCTGCCAGTGGTAACTACACGGTGTATTCTTAATTTATGCTCAGCTACTAGCTCCTTTCCTACTTAGAAAGGAGCTGGAAACACCACTTCCCTCAGATGTCTGTCTTTGTGATAAACTGGGGATGGATGAGTGGAAGAAATATGGAAGGTTTCTTTTGCTCTAGGGGACATTGTATTTGCCTGCTGTTCTGCCTGGCCCTCCTTGCTTGGTTTTAAGCACAGAAACTTAAATGCAATTTGTTCACCTCTAGAGTTTTCCTGACCGTTCGAGAGTTCGAATTCAGGTATGATCCCTATAGCACATCAGTCCCTACAGCCATCTTTGAGTTGTGATGCAGACCAGGATGAACTAAACTGAGCCCACACTGTTTCACATAGCCAGTGGTTTCTCTTCTACTAATAAAAAATTAGGGTCTGTACTATTATTTTAATTTTGACCCATTTGTGGAAAACATTTGAATTCACATTCTCTGTGTTAGGCAAAATTTTTTTGTTGTTTAGTTTTTCTTTTATTATTCTGGATGCCATTTGCAGATTAAGACTTAGCCCAAAACATGCAACCTTTGTTATTTATTTTCAGGATGCTATCTCTAGTATAGTATACAGACATTTGAAATGTTTGTAAAACTCCAAATGGAATGGGAATGCTGCAGCACTGAATAAAACCAGTATGAGAGCTGTGGTGACAGGAGGTGGCGGCTATTTTGGATACAAGCTGGGATGTGCTCTTGCCAGCAAAGGAGCTTCTGTTGTTCTCTATGACATGCACAAGCCTATTTGGGAAATTCCCAGTGGAGTGGTGTGTATCCAGGTATGATAAACTGTATTTTCCCAGCAGTCAAAATTAGTTCATTTGCCTTTTCCATAACATTTTACTAGTTTTCAGAGAATTCAAATAGCTAATTGCAAATTATTTCAAATTCCAATAACCTTTTTGACTGTGTGAACGTCCCACAGGAATTCTGGTGAAGGGATTTTAGTATATCTGAAATAAGGAAAGCAGTGAAACCTGTAACGTGGAGCACAGAGCAGTTCTGCTCCTGCCTCCTCAGGACCCTGCCCTCACCTGTGCCTTAGTTTAATCACCTGTAGAAAAAATACAGGAGTATTATGAAGCTTAATGAATATCTTTAAAGCCCTTTGGGTTCTGTGAAAGAAAGGTATGATTGTTAGCAAGCACTGGGGTGGGCCCAGGATGTACAGCCCATACAATTCTAAATATGAATTATATATATGAATTCCCTCTGTATGACAAATGCTCACCTGCAGCTTTGATTTCAAGTCCAAATATGTTTTCTTATGTATTACAGGCAGACCTCAGGAATTACTATGCCATATTTGCAGCCTGTGAACAGGCTGACTGTGTGTTTCATGTAGCTTCATATGGAATGTCAGGAAAAGAGCAAGTGAGTCCAAACAGTTCTGGTTTTTTCTGTGTGACTGCCCACAATGAGAATGAGAGACTTGATGCTGTAGCACAGCATGGTAGATTTTATCTACCATAGTAGATTGCTCTGTGCAAACTGGAGTGCCCCCTGCAAGAAGGCTGCTTGCAGAACGATTTCCCCTCCATCAGAGGCTCCACCAGCACCCTGGGAGGGTGTTTGAGATGGAAATGGCATTGAAGAGTTCTGAAACAGCATAAAGACAAAAGGAAAGACAAGAGAGGCTGGTTCCCTCCAAACCCCTGATCCTTCCCTAAACCTTCACAAGGAACTCCTCGGTGTAAGGTCACTGCGAGGAATAAAAACTGCACTAAATTATACATTATTTTATATATCTAAATTATAAGGACCACTGTATTTCAAGTCAAGGCAAAAAGCTGTAAGGATGTACTCTGAGTCACAATTTTTATGATTAGAGTTACACACATCCCCCTTTCTTACCTTATTTAATAAAAGGAACTTCAGTAATTACCCTGTGGATAGAACAGCTCACTCAGAGCTATTTGCCAGTGAGCAATGCATAATGGGAATTGCTCTGGGCAGAGGCCACTCATCACTGAAGTGCTAATGAAACACAAATATTTAACATACATGTTTCTTGGAAGCACTGTGATTCTCTTTGCTTCAAGCAGACTAGTCTGCAAAAATACAAGAAAAATTCAGGCATAGCTTAAAAATAATGATTTGACTACTTGAAGTCAGAAACAACAGTCTAAAAGATCTTTTTTATAATCAAAGCACTAAATTAATTACCTTTATTTGAGGACATTAGAACATCCTCCATATTGAATTTGCTATGTATTGAAAAATGCACAATTTCTTTCTTTTCTTAGTGGCAAAAAGAACAGATTGAAAGCATAAACATCAATGGAACAAGATACATCATTGATGGTACGTATCTAACTGTGCCACTGGGTGTTAGTAGAGCACATCAAGTATCATATACCATTTAGAGAAAGCCAGCTGGTGTTTTTGGCACACACTATTTGTTACCAAATGTTTTACATTGTTGGCAGAAGATAAGGAAACGTGTCATTGCTTTTTATGCTCCACTCTATGACAGGGTGTGATGTGTCAGACTGGGATGTGCCACAGAGTGAAGCACTTGGTTCCACACTGATGCCTTCCCTTTAAATATGCTTTGCATTTCAACTCACCAGTCACAGAATGGAAGGATTTTCCCTTTTAAGATTTGACAGTTTCTCAGAATAAGGTCATACAAACTTTTTTTTCCCACATTGCTTCATTTTCCATTAAGTAATTGACTTTGAATGTTCCTGCAGCTTGCAAAGAGCACAACATCTCTCGGCTGATCTACACCAGTACAGTGAATGTGGTGTTTGGAGGGCTTCCCATTGAAGATGGGGATGAGGAATCTGTGCCATATTTTCCACTTGACAAGGTATTTTGTTTGTACATATTTTCAAGTTTCCTCTTCGTTTATTTTCTTGTTTCTGGAAAAGCCTGGAGCTTTTATGACAATGTTTTACCTGATGCCAGAATCCAGGCACAAGAAAAGGCCAGGCTGGATGAGAGTTTGAGCAACTTGATCTAGTGGAAGGTGTCCCTGCCCATGGCAAGGGGGTTGGAATGAGGTGATATCTGAGGTCCCTTCCAACCCAAACTATTCTGTGATTCAGTGAAAGAAGAAAGAAAACTACTTTTTGTAGATGCTATTCACAGCCTTGACACATCACTGTTATGTACATTGCAGTATATATTTCTTTGTTTCCTATTAAGGCCTTGATTTTGGCAAATAACTCATACAGGGTCCCATTAACATCAAGGAAATTCCACCTGGACATAAGGACTGTGTTCTGTGGCTTGGTGTCTCTCTAGCTATTTATTATCTACATGATTTTTCTGTTTCTCCCTTACTGATGATGACATATATTCAATGTAGAGCTGATCTGGAAAAGCAGCCTATTTTTATGTGATTTTATTGCATTTAATTAAAAAGGAGAAAGTACTTCTGGGTGCTTTGCCTACACAGTTGTTTTTTGTGTCCCTCCTCTCTCCATCTAGTACTTCACAATCTTTCAAGAAGTAGAGATGGAGAGAAAATACTGATTCATATTTTTAATAATATTTCCAATCTTTTCTCTGGGACAGTGCCACACAAAAGTGAACAGGATACTTCAGAGGTAACGTCTTCAAAACTTGGCTTTTGACTTTTCCATTACCTGAAGAAGAAATCCAGATTACAAAGTAGTGATCAGTTACATTCCTGGCAGCATTCAAAGTATACACATATTTATTGCTTCTTAAATGTGCTGAAATTAATTAACCAGATTTGCATTAAAAAAAATGCCTCCTTACAATGAGCATGTGTTTTACCCTAAACCTAATACCCCATGGCTTCTGTATTTTGAGGTATTTGTTGCCATTTGCTAAGTAAAAGCTAATGGAGAAGAGGTGCCCCTCTGCCCTGTCATTCCAAGAACAGATAAAAATGTATTTTTTTTTCTCCATAGCATGTTGACCATTATTCCAGAACCAAATCCATTGCAGAACAAATGGTACTGGCAGCTAATGGAACTCCACTAGCAGGTACTTTTGTCTGAGCACTAATTCATAGCAGAATTTACTACTCCTCTTTTTGTTCCCCCCCAACATCCTGTCTCCTGTATCAATCCT